CTGACTACGTTTGTCCATTTTCCAAGTCGAGGATTTCTTTGTGACTTTTATACTTGCACTATTGTGCTTCTTCTGTTTCTTTTTTTTTGAGAACTATTGTTTTATTTTTGTCGTACTAAAATAATTCCTTTTTTGTTTCACAGCTTCTCATGCACCACTGTCTTAATGTTAAATTTCTGAATTTTAGAAATAACTCCCACTCTCCATCTGAATTTTTCTTTCTTTTTTCCTTTGGACTAACTATGTTTGTCCATTTTCTATGTCGAGGATTTGTCTGTGATTCTTATTTTTTGCTTCTCCTGTTTCTTTTTATTATAGCATTTATGAATTCTAATTCTGGATAAAACTATAATAGAGCGATTAAAAGGAAAACCGATCTCCATGGACTACGATGTAAATAAAAGAAGCTAATGTTTATTAGGTTCGGAGATTTTGTACCGTAAAGATGTGATTTCTATTGTGCACTACATTTTTTAAATAAAACTGATTTATTATTTTCTAATATAAAATCAACAAATTCTAATTAATTAAACTGTTTTTCATGTTCCACTGCCTTTTTGTTATGTTTTTGATGTTTAGATATAATTTTTACCCGCCGAGTTTCTCTTTCCTTTGCTCCTTGACCTGACGACATTAGTCCATTTTCCAAGTCGAGGACTTCTTTGTGACTTTTATGCCTTTTCTCCAATTTCTTTTTTCCTTTAAATTATTTTTCTGCTTATTTTATTATGAACTGAGAAATGAGATGTGACCAAGACACATAAAATTTATGTTTGCTAAACTGCTTTCTGTGTTTTGCTATCTTTTCCATCAGTTTGTGAACTTGTAGTACCATTTCCATTCTCTATTAAATTTCTCTCCCTTTTGCTTCTTGGCCTGACTACATTTGTCCATTTACCAAGTCGATAATCTCTGTATGATTTTTATACCTCCTTTTCTCTGTTTCTTTCCTTCTTTCGAACTGTCGTTCTGTTTCTTTCATTAAGAGTTAAAAAATGAAACATGGTTAAAACATACATAAATTTTATCCTTTCAAATGCTTTCTATGTTTTGCTATCTTCTTATTAAGATTGTGAACTTGTAAAACAGTTTACTTAAATTGTTTACCCAAGAATCATCTTTAAATTCTGAAAAGTATGGTGGAGTTTTGTAAACTTTCTTCATTAATTCTATTTAAGAAAGAATGTGGCAAAAGAAAAAAAATGGAGGATGAGTAATACAAAAGAAACACTTTAATTTCATACTAAGGAAGTAATTTATAACAGCAGTAATTTTTTTTATAAATATGTATATTAGTCGTATTAATGAAAACAAGAAATATGACTATTAATATTAAGGGAACACGTAAAGAATACTAATATTTCCTTAATATTAGTATTTTATATGTTTCTCTGTCCTATTTGCTACACGTGTGGTAATAACTCACACTCTTCTAGTAATAGCTTGTACAACATGCTCTGTTTGGTATGCTGCCAATTCAATTTAATTATATATATATAGGAAATGCATTTCGCTATCATTACATAACTTTCCAAAATGTTTTGTTCTAATACTTCCTAAAATGGTCAAAAATTCACAATTATGCTGACTATTCAAATATTTCGGTTTATTATTCGACAGTAATGAAGATGCAACGATTACTCATTTAACATTTTTAATTAAATTTACGACTTTTCTTAGAGAAACCCAAAGCATTATGACGTTGCAACGATGTCTAAAGAACGATTAAAAATTACAGTTATAAAAACTGTTTAATGAGTTATTTTCTTGTTGTTCATTAATTTAAATTTTGTTTTATTAAACCATCACCTCTCTCAGACAATAATCTTTTAATAATATTTCCCCTTTTTAACTTTTCAAGCTAGTGAAAGATTTCTTACTCAAAATATAATATTAAAATTGTCTTTGTTCTATCGTCTTCTCATTGTTCAATTACTGCTGTCATTTATATAAGTCTTAAATATTTATATCGTTATTAAATGATTAAAATGTCATTGGATTAATTATTTTCAAAAAAGTATGTACCCTTGTATCCTTAATTTTTTCATACTATTCTTTTTTCTCTTCAGATCTTTTAAAGTGTTTGTTTCTTTCGGTTAGTTCTCTTTCATTTATTTATAGACGATATTCTTGTTTTATTAGACATCGGTATTGTTCTCATACCATGATACTATTATAAATACACATACTTCCCAGCAGTTCACCGACACCAGAGAGTCTGGAATGTATTTACTCTCCTGTGGCAGCCTAACCTGCGTGAACATACCTTTTAAATTTATTTCTGGTCGCTAATAACGTATATCGCTGTCTGAACCTTAAATAAATACGTTAAACAAGAAAATTCAAACTCATCCTTCTCTTTTAGGGAACAGAAAACTACTAATACTTTTAATTAGAATAACTCAAATAATATTTATACAACAATGTATTCGTTTTATAAAAAGCATCAAAATGTTTATGCAAGTAAACTTTCCAATGAATGTTCATAAAACTGAATCATAATTTATTTCATCTATGTAGCATATACAAGTACTACTTTTGCTAATAAAGATATAAAATAAATAATTTCAAGTTAAGATTAATGTATAAAACTGTTGCGTAAATATGTGTAACTTCTCAGAATTTTTTTTTCTTTGATAACGAAAATGTAATGTTAACGAGTGCAGAGAAATAAAATTGAATCTTACTACTGCTGATTCTTTTAAATTTTAACGACTAATAAATGTACAAACACATATATATATAATTACAGATATATATTCTATATCTGTAGCATTTACAATTTATTTATTATAATCAGAAAAATATTTTAAAACTTTCGTCATACCGTTTAATTGTACTTACACTACCGCTGACATTCAAATACATATATCCGAAGAGCATTTCCTTGAAAGGATTAACATAGAAACGAACGTTTCCGCGAACACAGCCTCCGGATCTAAGGCCTTGATTTCTCCACGGATGGATGTGGGCCACCGTGATTGTTAGGAAATCATTCATACCGCGAAATAAATATAAGTTTTTTTTGTCGGCGTGTATATCAATGGACCATAGTCCGAGAATTGCGGAATTAGAATTAGAAGCAGTGAATTTTTACAAGACCAACAACTCACATACAACCTGGTTCTCAGAGAATGGGAATAAATCATACGAGTTTTTCACGACATTCAGAAATCTGATAAAAAGCAGGAATTCTTCGTTCCTCTGAATCCAAAGTAATAGGATTACCTTTATAGGATGTAACTAGAACGCTTTCAAGTGTATAATGAATGTAATTTAAGAAAGTTAAGAATCTGAATTGGAGGAATAGTCCACGGTAAATGAGATATGTAGATGTTTATAATATGAACATCTATATATCATTTTTATTACTAATAAAGTTAATTAATTATTAAGGTACTAATAAAAATTATTATGTAGTGTATTGCTGTTAATTAGTAAGAAAATCAGAAAAATAATGATACTATATGAAATGAATGAAGTAAATAAGAATATGATATACAAAATGATAAAACATATAAAAAATGTAAAA